TGAAAAGATGAAGTGGGGTCATTCAATTATTAAACCATCCGTGAGATGGGTCATAACCAGATTTTGATTGGTATCCAAAACCTCTACGTAAATCATCGCCAAAGCTCCCAGTCCATTGTGAGGTTGGATCCTCGTGCTTGAACTGCTACCGGAGCGAAATCTCCAAACCTCGCATCGAAACATTTTCGATTCTAGGTGTGACATTGATCTAAACTCTACCTAGGAGGCTATTTTCGTGATGTGGGCCAGAACACAAGAAAGCAGCGACGCATGCATTCAACAATTCAAGCTGATGAATCAACATTCCGATCACAATGCAAACCAGCTGAGCTGACGATTGTGTTGGTTATAAATCCACCGAACGTTTGTGTTCTTATGGGAACGTGACTTGTGGAAATCGAGATAACCTTATCTTGGAGGATGGACTGAATTTCAGAGCATTCACAATCAGTAGTGAACGAAGTTGTAAATAGGTAGTATTTACTCATTAACCCAAAAGGGTTTCGGATCGGATTTATCGTTCTTCAAATATGGAACATTAGATGCCGATGAGATGAAACAATATTTGACAGGTCACAGATTCATTAACTGCTTGCGTTACGCTTATAGACTATCAGAAGACATTGTGGAAGTTAATCAGAATATCTGTCAGCGAAAAATGTAACAGCCTACTGATTGAACCTTCCTAGCTACATGAAATGAACATTCTGCCGTGATAAAGCGCTCTGTTTATGAGGACCGACGGTAACCCTGCGACGAATCAGGTCACAGAGACAGTGAGTACTATGTCGTAAACCGATAACCAATGTGAGGATCACAGCTATCGAAGTGGCATCAAGGCTGCATGTGTGAATTTTCCTGACCAACTTAGTAAAAAGTGCGTTTACCTGAGTGTACCTGAGTGTACAACTTTAACACACGAACATGTACATCCAGCACTTTTACATAACATTCTGTCCACTTATGAGTACACGGAGATTAGTATCCCGACTGTTCGTTTCTCCTGATGGGGCCGCTGGTTTTTAAACGTCTATGTAGAGGTGTTTTCCTGACACCTAACGTGTTATCATCCAACAAGAGGCTCCCTTGCATCCGTGAGGAAGGTATGTGTATTTGCCAAATGCCCATAAGTCAGTGTTTTGCCGACAACACGATGCATATATACGTTAGCAATTGGGAGGACTGAGCTGTTTAGATTAATTTAATCCATTAGCTCTTGATATTTCCTTCAACATGAGTTGTGTGCAAAAAAAACTAGGGAAGGTACCTGGGTTTCGAGATTTTCACCTGTCAGGTGCTCGGAGGTAAGTAGGGGAGATACTCTTTAACATTGGAATGTAAATGAATTTCATGCAACACTGTGCATACAAATGACAGGTGTTTACCCCTAATGTGCACCACTGTTTTGCATGCAAAGTTGAAACAACATCGACTGACGTGCACACTTTTGCTGAGACGCCTCTCACTCACAATCTAAGGAAAAACAGAAGCTTTCTACTTCCCGATGGCCATTCATTCCAAAAGGGGGGAGGCATGTGTCAGATCTTTCATCCACGTGCTGATTCGGCTGCAACCCATCTATTTCATCCGGAAAACCGTTGTTTTGAGTACTTGTCCTATAAGTACCATTGATAATAGCTAACTCGATGAGTTGGCGTTTCTTCAACTCATCTTCGCCATCCGGCTAAGAAGAAAGAATTGGAAAAATGTTATCTCCAGTTATAGCACCGAATATTGATTCGATGCTAAACACGGCAGTCAACAACACAATTAAGGATGACCCCTAACCAATCTATTAAAACACAGGCTAATGCAGTGTTGTGCCGATAAATAAAATGTCCAGAAATAAATCCACCTTCGATTGTGAAAAAGTGAAGCAAAGTAAAGCAAGATATATAATGCTTCCCATCGAAATCAACTGGAGTTTCTAACGGTGACAGAGTCTGCTGGATGTATATTCTTTGAGGAACTCCTTAAAAGATAACTTTTGTGTGGACCAGCATATAGTCCGTATCAGGAGAGGAGGACTAATCAAACAGGATTAATGTGGAGACAGTCATACGTAGGAACACAATGTAGCAGTTACAAAAGCAACACTCGAGCTAAATCGTGAACTTATGGAATTGTCGAAAACTTGGTATATTTTTACAATACATTGCTGATGCAACGATTAACTCGGCATCCTCATATGTATTGCATTCTGTTCACTAAGCACGTTCAGAAAACATCCCTAAAACAAAGATGACAATTAGGATGCTGAACTTGTTTGTGGCGATATTTTAGTCTATATATATATATATATATATATATATATATATATATAATCGGATTCATCAGTGACATTTTTGGGCCGTTATCTCAACTTGCAGGAGAAGCCTACTACAGGCCTTTGGCAGCAAAACAGTTTAGATTGAGTAGGCTTTGTTCACGTGGTGTACAATAAGCTATTCAATCACATCTCGGAAACAACCTCACTTCTCAACGGCTCAGGTCAGACATAGTTATTCAGCTCTGTTACTATATGCAACACTATGGGCAAAGACGGGATAAAGTCCACAAAACCTGTTCCCCCCTGACAAGCCACATTACTCAATTGATATATCTCAAAGACATGAGCGTTGGATTTCATAGCACTACTGAGGTCAGACTCTACGTTGAAATATGGTGGCTGAATCGTTCAAATAGCCAAAACACTTATCATTTCCCTTGGAGCCCAGGACAACTAAGGCCAAGTACGAGGATCCCCAGGAGGCTGATCTTTTCCGTTTAAGCACAGAACGATCTAATTTGTAGATCTAGAACTACGCTTAACAAACATGAGAAGGCACACAACAATGCCCGGTAAGCACACAATGGGTTTCAAAAGGTTTACCAACAAACGGAAGCAGTTATTCGCAACAAATGATGTCAACGAGTAGTTAAGCGGAAAAATATTAGTAAAAATAAGAAAGAGAAAAGAAAACTATCAGCTGAGTAAAGCGGCAGGCGAGAGTTAGCACTAGGCAAATACACACAGCACATTAATTAGTGTTAGGTGGTGAGCGCATACCGTTGAGTACAGCCAATTCCATTAGTTGCAATTGTTTTAATCTGTCCTCGTTCTCCGGCTGAACATCAGTCACCAGATGGGAGCCAGTAGAGATACGCATGTGTGTGAACCAGATAATGTGTGGATGTGGATGGTTGATGGTGGTGGGAATGAGGCCATATAAGTTTTGGGATTAGTAGAGAGAAAGCAAGGTGAATAGGATGGAATTAATCGAAGCAAAGCAAAAACGCCTTGCGGCCATCAGAAATCGCGACGTGCTTTTATTTGTTAACCGATCAACTCAAGTGGTCAAGTGTGTATAAGTTTGTGATTTGCTCGGTAAAATGCCTCTTCTTTGATCAGATCAAGTATGTGACTGATGCAGCACGGTTAAACACGGTTATAGAAATGTAACATAAAAAACGAACACTTCAAACAAATGATTGATGAAGACACTACCTGGTGTTGTATACTGTAGTAAAGCCATATTTACTATATTCTGCCTAATGGAGAACCAGTGTCAAGGTTGGAGACAATGTCTACTGTGATTTTTTCCGGAAAAATTGCAGTCGGTGGCCACTTCGCGACGGACCACACACGCTTGTGGTTAGTGTGAGTGAAGCCGTAGACACTCAGTGAAAACTCGGCCATGTGAGTAGGACGGGAAATATAGTTCACTGCACCAAACTCATTTCTGAGGTCCCATAAGGGACCTCTCTTTCCTAAACCCTGAAACTACGTGTTAGAAAATGTTGAACTAAGTAACTATGGGTTTCACAAAGATTTATGGGACCTATGTTTCTTAGTCTCTTACAGGTGTGATGATCAGCCAGCGAAAAACTTACTAAAATAATTTCTAGGTTGTACAGTGACCTATCCTAAAATTTATCACGATCCTAGCGAGGGAGACAATTTACCAGAAACCAAGTGATATTCGAAATTGTAATATGCGGTTAAAAAACATACTGTCAAACCGGGGCAGGTTAAGCATGTCGGAGTTCCCACGCCTGGAAGACCCAGCTTGCCGCCCGTCGGCAGAGGGCTGTACTATATATTACGATTACTCAAGAAGTTTAATATGACTTCCAAAACGCTTGACGCTGGCAAAGTCAAGAGGGTAATAAAACACCGCACTTAATTTGGGAACCACAAGGTGGTCCCACAAAACTATGTTTAAACTTAGACGAAAGTATATGTCCCCTTTAGGAAACCTGCATACCACAACGATGCCCGCAAAGATTTAGTTTGAGCTGAGTCAATCACCTTGAGTATTCCTTATCTACCGTTTCTGAACTTGAATGCGAGAATGAATCAGACAGTCAGCATCAACGCAGCACGAAAAACTCCCTCCGGCTTCAAAACGAATGATAATATGTACAGCAAGTCAGAAGTGGTGGAGATGAATTGCGATCAATACACACTGGCATCCATAGCAAGCACTGGAAACCATAAGGAGCTCAAAGCCCTTTAGATTCAACCCAACCGTAAATAAATGATAATTGTCGACCCATTCAGAGAAGACCAGCAAACTTGTTGAACCGAATATTGCAGTACGCAACAGACTAGGCGTGTCACATTCGGTATCCGCAACTTACGATGACCTATGGAAAACCAGGGGAAGAGGGCTGTGGTACCGAACTGATATTAATGAGTAACGGCACTCCAGACTGCCTACATGGGTTGACAATGTCAGTCAAGTGAAAGCCAAATGCACCCTGGAATAAAAAAGCTCAATTCTGATGAGGCTGAGGAGGAAGTTGGAGGTGCCGGAGGCAGAAAAAAGCCCTTGATCCATACCTGAATGTTATTCCAACTAGATGTTCTCTGGCCTAACCACGGCAGCATCTTCAAGGCCCGTCAACATGAGATTTTTCGCCCATATTTGAGACCATCACTTGCGTGTAGATAGACTATTCACGTGATGCTGATAAAACAAGGACCGCATTCTGTAACCATTGATTTTTCGTGTAAGTTGAGGGTTTAACAGGAATCAGTAGTATTCTCAGTAGTGGTTGGATATTCGCTGTTTCCAACCTTTAAAATGGAATATGCTAGCGCCTTTCATCCCCATACAATATAGATTTGGCGGTCATCCCTTATGAGTATTTCTGGATGAGCTTATTCTGAGCAGCAGAAGATAAAGCCGGGTTAAAACGTCTTCGCATTGAACCATAACAAATATAAGCGGTGGACATGATGGATCACTATCTGGATGTTTTTCTTGAAAACCTTGGTGCCGGATGGTAACGACTACATGAAACTTTTGCATCGCCATATCAGTTGTACAGTACATTTTCCAACGGATGAACGCAACAGGCTGTGCAAAATAAGCCAAAAAAAGAATCGAACCGCGTACAGCTGGTTAAATGTCAAGCTGGTCGAACAGTTCAAAAACAAGAAAAGCTCAGTTAGGTCACGTGATGCCCAGTGGCAACCACAGAGTGGTTTTCTTAGTCGATTTTGGATCATCCAGATGCCACCTTTCCCGATAAGAAAAGGTTATAGATGAGAAGAAAACTCGATTGAAAGACAAGCCCCACCATTCCTAGTGGGAATTCACTTGTTGAGGAGCGATTCGCAAAAGTACAGAAGGATACATCCTTAGCCTCCATGTATGTATCCCCTCCTACAGTTATAGGAAGGGGTTTCGAAGTGAATGTCCTCTGTTAAAATAATCTAAAGCTATATGGATTCCAGGATTTTCCTTTGGTATCGGAGTAAAGGAAAACTGGATGCGCAGCTTTGGAATTTATTCATTTATTCTGATTCTGAGTCAAGCGAAGAGTTAGAGACAGAAAACCGATGGTATTGGCTAGAATTTTGAACATCCTGGTTCGGGTCACTGGTTATATGAACATTAACTTACAGTGAAGTGAAGCGTGTCGTGCACCTCATGGGTTGTATGTATATGTATGAGGAAAAGGTAGACCATACTGTCCGACAGCACAACAGTGCGGTACCGTAGTAACAGGTTAGTTAAAATAACTGGAAAGGCCTAGATGAGAGTGGTAGGGAACCCTTTGCTAGGGTGTTCTCGGATTTATATGGGTGGTTTCTTTGGCGCCTGCAAGTAGCTACTACACCATACGTCCCCTTAGGCTTTGACTGTGAAGTCATGAGGCGTCTTGGCGAGCCGTAACACCGGAACTAATCACTAATTTCGATGAGTGGCTAGAGAAACATAGGCGGTGGATTCTGACAAGTGAAGGAAGTATGACGTATAATACGGACTGGCATGGATGTTGTTCTTGAAACGGTTCACTCAAATCAGCTTTCAATAGAGTTAGAAAGCGTCTCGTGAAGATGGTGAATTTTAGAATACCCATAACCAGTCAAACAGGGTTAGGAGGAGACGCGTTTTGTGTCCGGGTGCTCATTAATCCCATAGCAGTAAATTCTTAGAGCAGATTTACATTGGTATGTTGATTTCACAGTCAGTACAATGCATTTTTGTAGAATAACCTTATGAACTGCCTTGATCACATTCAAGTAGCCTACAGAAGCCTGTTAGTACTTTTTGATCCAAAAGCACAAGTCCAAACTTATAATTATTTGGACTTACCATCATCTTGGAACGGAATCCATAGAGACAAATCACAGGAAGTATCAAACCAAGCTTTACAGTAGTAACACATCATCTAGACTAAGGTGACGTTAAAACTTTAGTTGTCATAGAAATCCACTCATTTGGTCACATGGAGACGCCGTATTTTGCCTATACTGACCTGAATGTGACCTGGACTGTACTGAAACTGGAGATGTCAGCCATTCCTGCCGCAGTCCGCGCAGCACTGCCTGCTATGACAACCAACTTCCACCTTTCTGTTTATTTTGCCTTCATGCCTTCCATCATAACTAACAGTACAGAGGGAAGCAATCACTTCCGTTTGCAAGAGCAATGGATGGGATTAGTTGCACCTACAATAGCATCCTGTCCTGAATTTTCTGTTAGCACTTCCATAGCAAAGATGATTACTTTGCAGTAATGCACTCATCCGTAATTCAGGCCGAATTCAGGTCGTAAATATTCAGAGGAATTTCATCCTTTAGGCCGATATGGAATTGAATAAAACTGCACTTGGTGAATTTATGACGAAGAAGGTCGACCACGGAGTCGCAATCTACGGCTTATCGGTGCATCCACAATGCACATCGGTCTGCTGAAATAAAGACCAATGAATGAGTGCTCTAAGCGGTTGGTATCTAGATGCGCATATACGCAGGAATGTCTTGTTCGACTTCCCTCATTGACAGCATAGTGGAAGACCGCCGAATAAAATCCGAACCTCGAACAGATTGAGGGTTTTGGAGTGCGTATCACCACATCCAGCGGACTACTTGTCTATGTGAAAAAGTGCACCGCTAAGTCACACCATACAGCTAGGTAATTGCACCTCTGCCATAGAGTATGGTTTAGGGTAACTTGGGGGGAACCGGGAGAACCGCGAGATGACGATAAATCAGAGATCCTCAAATGCACAACTCTACATATTCTGCACACATACGGCTCAATCATTCCCGCAGCCACGGCAAACTTGAATGCGCGTTGGCGATTCGATCTTCGAACAAACGCCTATCCTGAGAGCATTCTCCATGCAATCATACAGACAAGCTTCAGACCGGGAGATTTTGCTGTATTTTAGATAGAATTCTCTCCTTGTCTTTCGCAGCACACTCTTGGGAAGATGGTAGCACTGTACCACTATTCTTCTGAACAGTTAGGAGTGTGTAAACTAGTTGCAAAGCGAAGTAAATATACGGAGGGAATGTACATTGATAGGGCTGATCAACCGGAACGCCACTCCAGTCTGGTTCTGAAAAATACTTTCTAAAAGTTCATAAGAAAAACTAAGTAAACAATTTAGTCAATATTACACCTCCATATATATGGAGCACTGCGCACGGTTGGGTTCTTACCATACGTGAATAGCAGAAAAGTAGGAAAGTACGCAAAGCACAGGTGGTCTAAATAGGACAAGGTGAGAGACGTGTGCTATTTAGACAGGTGAGCAAGAGTTTAGGGACGAGTCAATAGAGTGGCGTCGAAAGCTATTTGTGAAAATAGCGGCTCTGTTACTAAAATACATTCGAAAGAGTATGGGCGTACGTTTGGGTTGACAGACCGTCGGGGCAACAATCACGAAACATGAATTTTCTGGGACTGGGTTGAAATAATCCTGACGATGACTTACTTTTCAAACTAAGTACCGTATGGTACAAATGTGGCTCAAACACTACAATGTTTTAGTATATCACGTGTCTCGAAGTATCCATTGTTTACCCAGATATTCATCTCAAACATTAGTCACAGAGGTAAGCACAATAAGCTGAACGATCCCCTCTACTAGTTGTAGATAGCTGTCGTGGTTTGGTGAGTTCACATTCATAAATTAATCTCTTCTGAACAGTTTCCTTTCTGTTCTGGCGCAACTAGTCTTGTGAGCCTACACCAAATGGGAGAGTACTGGGCTCGAGTTCAGCCATTATTATGAACTCATTAGCAGCTCAATGCCTTCATCGTGCCTAAGTTTGAACTTCGCACACCTGATATGGGAGGTGGACGCGCTACAACTATTCCACCAGTGCCCACTGGACGCATCTGAGTAGTCACTTCTGGACAACTGGACTTGTTCCCGCGTGAGAGATGTGATAGGTTTACCCGAGGCCTCGGACGACCCAGTGACCGTGAATATGAACTCCGCCCATAGTTGGACAGTCATCTGTAGATCAGTGAAATCAACAGTCAAGGCAGACGTGGAAACAACTAGTCTCCGGTCGTCAACGTAGGCAACCGTAATCCGTGAAACTCTTTTAGCTAGCGCATTACCTCATGGTAGTACAGGGAGTAAGCGTGCATCTGGAATTCATCTAATCACCCCTGAAAGACCTCATGAGAGTTGGAAGCAAGCGTCCGAGGGAACCGCTGTTTACTGGCAACACTGAAACTTTCTTCTGTTAGCAACTCACATACAGGTAATATCCGCACAACAGCAATTGAAATCTATGCACCAATCAAAGTGTCACTTGCTTCTGTTGCAACATTTGTGAGCAAAAGCTTCGTAGTTATTTGTAATCAGTTAAAAGCAACCATTGTTGGTGATGTTTGTGCGGTTCAGGCCGTAAAGAGATACCGCAACATGAAGGTAGTTAATGTCAAACGGAAGACATCAGGCCTTACTAACTCAAGCATTTGGGACTCTTTTTGCACATGGCTGGAGACCCTACCAGACACTGAACGTGACTGCGGTGAATGATGTTATCCTTGATTAGCTGGATTGCCAAGCTAAAGTATATTCGTGCTTGCGCAAAGAATTTTGTGCTTGGAAATGTCTAAATGGAAGTTGGTGAAGTTTTTACCAATTCCATCTTACCCCAAAACAATTCTCAGTTATCACTTTGAGGTGTGAAGATTACCTTCCCGACAGTTTTCCTAGTGGCGTAGGGATATTCGCAAAAACTTCCCAAACATTCTTTCATTTTACTCAATTACGCCCTCCTTCACAAGTGTTTGGCAGGAGACAATCAGAACCAGCGTTTATTACCTGTGTATTGTTCTAGTGGTAGTGACAACGATGTCCACATCGCCGCGCATTGGGAACTCACCTAACTATAACACCAACCTTTTGCAACAAGTTTGACCCGACAAATCCGAACCAGGTTCCAAGTTTTATTTTAGCATGAAGAAGTTATTGCCAACCCTGATTCCCGGCGCGGTTTGAAACTCAACCGAGATTCACTATGTTTGGAGACCGTATGGTAAAGCTGTTGATAACACCAGTTATTAAACTCCTGCGAGAAATGATATGTGCGACCTACCCCAATAGTCAGACAAAGCTTCCAAACCAAACCGTAGTAACCGAATAGCTTGCACTGCCAAAGAACTAGAATGCACTTTCGTCAGATCTTACAGTTCCCAATCGGCCAAATTAGGACATATGTTGCACAACACATGGAGCCATGAAAGAGATTCAAGTCAGTGTGGATAAGGGAAGGCATAGCAACGACAAAGAAACCTTGCCCCTAACGGAGATTAGCAATTCGGATACCGAAATCACACTTCTTGAGTGGTTGGCTTTTGCACAAAGCCATCGTTGTACAACGAGTTGAGAAAATATGGATCCAGACACCAAAACCACCATTTCAGTAATTTAGCCGGAGCTCTCCTAGCTGCTTTCTGTAGGATAGTTAGTATACTGACAGCATTTTCCACATACCCGCAGTAACAGGCTGGCACCGGCGACATAGCATCCGATAATAAGTACAGACAGGGCTAACCAAAGTTCATCAAATCTTAGAGATATCCACAGAAAATCTACTATAGATGTCTTGTAGATCATACTAGCCAGAAGTACTCTCAAGCGCAGTCGGATTACTTCTTCGTAAACACAGATATCACATCCTGATGCGACGATTCCGGCTACACCAATACTAAAATGAAGCCGCCCATCTTCTCGAGGAATAATCACAGAAGGATATCCTCTAGCAATGTCTGAATCCGACTGAAACGATCTTCAGTTACGGACTCCTGCCAGACCACCTGTATTTGCCAGGTAACGGCACACTTCTGATTGGGATCAGGTGTCGAGGTAGGATGCCACACAGTATTCCAGCCAATTAACTATTACGACAGTAACAAGATAGTTTTTGGTTCCATTTCTGTGTAGGATTATGAGTGGATTGCTTATTCTCATTGTGTTCTACTCCACCAAAGATACTGCGACCAAGACAGAGAAAAGGAAGCCCTTTGGTTGTCATTGTAACTACCCAACACACGACCGACAAGTTAAGACAAGACTGTGTGCTGCGGCTAACAACAGGAGACGATCAATAACTTGTGAATGAGAGAAAGCACACACGAGCGACAGCACAACTTGCTCTTGTTGAAGCAGGTCATTATTCACCAATCTCCAACATCTCTTCAGTACTAACAAATCATTAAGAACCCACTGTCTGTCGTGTGTGTGTGTGTGTGTGTGTGCATTCAGAACTTGAGGTAGTCCTAAAATTTGCAGAGCAACGTGGTACACCTACTGCAAATAGTTGGAAGCACAAAAAGAAGAACGCTAAGTAAACGATAGTGCCATGGTATGTGCTCTGGTATAAAAATGTATCAGGTGGGTGGTCATAGTGGTATAGAAGAGTGACAGTTGTAAGTACTGTGCCATTATGATGTAAAAGAGCGACAAAATCTTCCATAAGGGAAACCTAATGATCAAGAACGGAGTAGTTGTGTGTGCAGAAATGTTAGCTGGTTCAGAACAGGAGAATCATGCTGACAACTCTATCATGCTCTATTCCACAGCATTTGGAGTATGACCCAGTGGGACTATCCAACCGTCGTTAATAAAAACTGGTTCACGCTACTCCTAATAGATCCACTTTATATCTAAGCTCCAAAGTACTCACAGAGAAGTATGGCACAGTTGGTATAGTCAAACCAGAAGCGGGAAGAACAACACTAAAGTTGGAAACTGAGATTAACTCCTATCTTTGAAAGCAGACGTCTGTTTATTGTGAAAGTTTGTGACAAGTCTGTCCGTTTCCTGATCAAAGACTTTTCGCAGCCTGCGCACGTGCCGCGGTCCTCAAAATTACGCACTCCCTGAGATCACGCTCTGAACGAACTAATCAGCGTTCACTATTACGGCCTGAACCAACTAAGGCGTACAACGCTGCAACAAACACGTCGCTGGAACAACCTTGCCTGTCGGCAAGCTTTCGTGCACGAACAACTCTACTCCGTTTATGAATGCTTGCAGAGGAAAGTACTCCCAAAAATTATCAACCATGGAGCCAAATTTCCCAGCTCAGTGAACAGATCAAGGAATCATTACTTTACGTAAATCATCTCAAGGTTTACTGCGCTTCTCAAGCCACTTTTGGCTGGTAACTTCCGGGACTAGAAACCTAACGTATCTTCGACGGTGAACCGTTATTATCCTACCGCAGTTGGGGCCGTCAAATGCTCAAGGAACTGTGTAGTAGAGGACCAAGCTGAAAAGCATTAACAACATTTGGTAAGGCACTACCATCCAGATGTCTAGATGGGAAGTTCTGTTAGTTCGTTAGTTTGAAGTGTACAGGCTTCTAAATCGTCACCATTAAGTTGAGCTACAAACCAGAAAATGCAAAAGAAACAAATCAGCCAGCGATTGGAACGTACAGCATGAAAGATGGGCGAGGTTGAAACTCCTGCCAGGTTTCCTACTTCAGGATAAAAGCGATGCGAAAGTTAGTGGATGAGTTCTAACCATAGGTTTTTGGATGAAGAGTCCACGCATTGGTCTTCAGGACATTCTCAGACATGGCTGCCTAGCGGAACATTCACTGTTAATACGTATGCTTAAGTAAGGCCTCTTTTTTAGAGCCGCATACATCCCCTACCATAAATTTAGTGCCACGGCAGTGGCAAGAGGCAGCCTTTAGTGAGCGAGTCTGGAGAAGAACTTTGTATGGTTTACGAGAATGTACTAAGCTAATGCGTGGGTTGAATCATGAATGAGGTTATGCTCATTATTATTATTATTATTATTATTATTATTATTATTAACGACATCAGGGATAATGATATACCAGTATAAAATACTGATGCTCAGCTACTATAAAATTATACTAGTCAGTGGAATCAGTTGTTGTGCGACTTATTGAAGAACTTTGTAGGTACACCGCTAGACAAGTAGCATTCTAATGAAGATGCCACCTTTTCCTACCAAATTTCATAGCAGTTTTACTTCGTACAGTTAAAGGATATGGTTAAAACTTCACTTCAAAGAGGTTTGGTAAAACAAGCGTTCCTGAAACTATGACTGCTCAACCGGTTTCAGATATTTCCCAATTGATTGAGAATAGTTGAAACTTATTTTTTACATTTTGTGAAAATCGGGCATATGGGTTTTTCTGTGAATGTTAGGCTGCACAAGAATCGTGTCGGTTAAAATATTGTTACACATATATTTTACACGGGTCTCATGTGAATAGTACTAATGTTTCTTGTTAGTTTTTTCATTCACAATATAAAGAACTCCTCCGGGTAGGTTGAAGAACGGGATTGCGAGAAGGCACAAAGCTAGCTGAGTGGTCATAATATGTATATAATCTTTGCACGAAACCATGATTCAAGAATATCCGCTTCAAGTCAAACTATGCATATGCTTATACGGTTCAATGCTAAGTGAGTTCAACTGCTAAATGGTTCAACTACCACAGAAGTGATCGACTTGATAGGTTGAGTGTTGTTTATTATTAGGTGAATATCTTCAGAAGACTCCGTTCTTATCTATGAGCTGCTATGCTTTCTGGCATCCGGAAATCAATAGTATGAAGTATTTGTTTCTGTGCCTACGTGCCAACGTGTGCATCCCCAAAAACAATGTCTTATGGCCGCCTAATCCAAATACAGTCGCATACGGTGAACCTAGGAACCAGCAACAATACACAAACCTAGACATTCATGAACAAACAGCATGTCTGCTACAAATAGCCTAATACCTGTATCGCTTGTGGTAGACAGAAAAAGCAGACTTGCAACAAAATACGGATACTTATCGGAACGATGACTAAAGCCACTGTAAGGCTCATACATGCTCCAAACATCAGGGTCAGTTCAGTTCATCCTTGGCAGATTGTTGCTGCCTTGGGCTTACCGCGTCTCGTTCACATGACGGTGTGCCATACGTTAACAACACGTATATGCATGGTGCTGGGTGACGTGCGTTAGTCTCCGGCCGCCGTTGTCACGCGACAGATGCTAGTCACCACATGGCTGGTTGAGCAGATACGTACCTTGTTCTCCGTTGACGTGTGTAGAGTTCTGAGACAAGATGGGCCAATTTTCAACAGTGCAAAAGTCTACTATGCTATTCAAAGCAACTAAACGCTTCTCGTATGAACCATCTGGTGGTTCGCCGTGAGGACTGATATCGCATTAGAATTCTCAGAAAACAGCCATTATGAAGGTAAAAATGATTGTGAAAATAAACGGAATGACCAGCAACGCTGGAGCAGAGTACTCTGCAACAGTGAGGCAGAAAGCCAAAACGCTCTGCAGTGAAAGACAAGAAACCAAAGACTTGTCAGAGGTTCAGCTGTTAACTTAGTTGTTTACAGCCGATCAACTGAAAGTTGGGAGGCTAGCCGTGGAAAGTTATCAAATTTTTAGGCTTTTCCTTGAGGACTGGTCAAGCTCTTCAGCACGGTGCAACATGCTATTACGGATTATTGTCCGTAGCTATTCACACCTAACTAAAGTGTCTCATGATCCACAATGAAAGCTGTACATTAGAGCTGTATAGTAACACCCTACCATCAGCTAACTTAAAAACTCATCTAGCTGTTATACCCTTTCGGTTCAAAGCTGCTAGGCCATCCGAAAGAGGCCCAACGGCTTCCAGGAGCAATCGAGATGCCAAGGTTGGGTTCTAACCCAAATTCCCGTCAAGAAGTTTGCATCTTAATTGCTGGAAGGTACTTCAGAAACTGGTAATGAACAAATAACATAGGACGAGCAGTCGGAGGGAAACATTCCAGCATCAAACAGGCAGAGATCAATACGTCTACAGCCTGCGTCAAACGAAACATTCATAGGCAGTCGACCAACAGGTAAGGATTAGATGGGATTACTAGAAAGGATCCAGCTACCTCCAGTATCCCAAAGTCGCATGGATGATCCAGTGAACTTTTATGAGAGACTCGAGAAGCCTGATAAGCAATCGCTAGTCCTTAATGATGAAAATCAGTCGGATCTGACGTCAACTTTCATGGGCTGAGTGCTTCGTAGAGTTTGGTCTTAAAATCCGACAGGCCAACACCAACGAGCGATACAGACGAAACTGATGCGAGCCCGATAAGAAGAATCCGAGCTCGAAAGCTAACCAGAGATTTCATAACTGTGCGGTAAAATAGTCAAAGCTTTAGTCACTCTAGCACACGTGGTAAAACACTGTACTGAAAGACGTGAGGTGTAAGTTTTTGAAAAGTTAACTTGAAAATAATTAACATTTAGTGAGCGAGTCATAAGGTAAGCCTTTTAAACTATGTTTTACCTACCGTGCGAACCCCTTGCTCCAGAAAATTCCGAATTGTTTCGGTTGCTCTTCGAAGTTTGACAGCTGCTCGATTCTCATAATCCTCCACGCTGACTAGTACGTGCAACTCTTCGTCTAAGTGTTCCCAGTTTGGTTTGCCGCGATTCATGTCTTCCTGTAGAAGAGCAAATCATGAAAAAACTTGTTTGTTTCGGTCTTCGAAGTTTGACAGCTGCTCGATTCTCATAATCCTCCACGCTGACTAGTACGTGCAACTCTTCGTCTAAGTGTTCCCACCCAGGTTTGCCGCGATTCATGTCTTCCTGTAGAAGAGCAAATCATGAAAAAACTTGAAAACAGATAGCATAATAAGGTTTTGGCATTCCCGACCGACTGAATTGAATATCCTGTTTTCCAATTGGAAAAACCTTGGGAAACGATATTGTTGGGTATTTTAGTGGTATTAAATTCTTCTTTAGTTAGGAATAACAATGTATACTAGGTCCACAGAGTACGAATAGTCATCTAGACGTAAACAGAATCAAGCG